CTGCCATTCATCATGATCATCTTCAAAATATACTGTGCTCAAGCCTTTGACGCCAAGATCCATTTCTACTCAACCCAATCAGTCAACAAGCACCCCGACACCGGTGCTCTTAAGGATCCCTTACGATCTAGTAACCTAGCTGCACGATTTGGTCATCCCGCGCTCTATAGGAATCTGATCACCCCGATGGTACATGCCAAGGCCCAAAATATCCTGGCCTCGATCTACAAGGGGCGCCTGTCCGATGGGCGTACCGCTGACTCGGGAGATACACTGTCCACATCTGGCTATTCAGACGCGTATGCTATGAACCCCATGAATTCTGCCAAACCGGGCAAGTCGGCTGGGCTCCCCGGATTCGAAATTGTCCCTGAGTCGCGTCTTGATTTCGAATACTACAAGAATCGGTCAGAGTTTGCTTCCGAACACGGTGCTGGGGATATATTCGGGCGTTCTAATGATATCATGCGCCCTGGTACGCCGGGAAGTATGTGGGACGGTAGCGACCTCGGCTCCCGATCAGGAAGTCCCGCGCCGCCGGTTCCTCGTATACCAAGTCCTGGCCCCAGTCGCATCTTATCGCCCGCTTCGGAGGTTGGAATGACTTATCCGCCTGGGTATTCACGGCCGATAGGAAGCCCTTACTCACCTCCTATCGATATTGGCCAGAGGCGGAGCCCACTATACTCGCAAGGAAATGATAGTAATTCCAACCTAGTGGGTAACGCAGCGCCCATGCCAGTCGCTGCTCCATCTGGATATAGAGAACGCAGCGTTGAGCGACTAGGTAGAACACCGGGTGGTGCCGGGATGCTCGGTGGTGGACCACAGGGCTATGGTGGTTTACCTCAGGATGAGGAAATCGCTTCACCCGATCATGACCCGATGCAGTATAACTATTTCCGAGAAGCGAGGAGGCCGAGACGTGACCAATCAGGGGGGTGGTAATATCGTGTGTAGGTTCTAAGGTGTATATCAACTGGATGTGGGTGGTAGCGGCGTTTGGTGTTATGGTTTCTGTCTATTCTGATTTATGGCAGGCCATCACGATGTTGAATCTTGAAGAAACAACAGACAGCATTAGAGACGGATGCATGAGCATGGTCGCTTAACTAACGAACGAGATAGATGGCGTTCGGACGCCCCTTTGTAGCGATTACATCTTCTAATACACCCTCCTCGGGACGCGAATGACTGCTTTGCCCCGAGGAGTAAACTTCTTATGCTGAATGGATAACAACAACTTTTTTCTCCAATAGTGACAGGCCCTTATTTTATAAGGTGAAAATTTTCGTGATGTCTCGGATTGTCTCAGAGCCTGCGACTCGGATTCGGATGAGGGGAATCACAGCTTAGCTAAGTGATAGCACCATTAATCGATTCACATAGGCAGCTCAGCTTGGCTTGTCCTTCAGCGCGGAGTCGAATGTGACGTTAGGTTACGTGATGGCTTAATGCCAAGCCACGTATACCCGCTCCCTTGCGTCCACGTGCCGAGGGATTAGACAGTATTCGCGGGGCTAATGTTCGATCGAATGGTACGCCGCGAACTATTTGGGGAGATACACGGGTTCATCATGAGTATAACCTGCCTTGCTAGGCAGGTCGATCTCGGTAGGCTCGGGGGCGACAATTATGATGTATAAATAAAACACGATCTGCACTGCCTTGAATACGCCTTGAATACCAAGCCCAAGATTGTATTGGCCATTGGAAAGTGCTACTATCGCAGAAGCGTAGAACGGCGCAGAAAGGATCACAGCCAGTGCCGAAAGGGTTGGTGACCTACCTATATAGGTAGGTGCAGACTCTAACTGTAGAATAAACCTAATCTAGCTTCCTTCTCACCGCACCGATAAGTTTATATTGAATAGCTAATAACCCGGTTTAGCTATCTACCAAGTCGCGGCCTGAAGCTCTCTGCTTCGTTTTGTTGGACATAACCAGACACAATGCGCTGGCTAGTAAGCTTTGGAACTTTGCTCATGGCCTCAACACAAGCCATGGCCGCAGAACCCCTCAATTTCCGCGTTATCACCTTCAATATTCGCTATGCAGCCGACGCAAGCACCTACGAGAAGCCGTGGAGCGTCCGCGGTCCCTTAGTCGTAGACAAGGCGTCGGCCATAGCCGCGAACGCCACGGCCGCCGGGTCAGTGCCCATCATCGGCATGCAGGAGGTGCTGCACGAGCAATTGGTCGACATCGTGGACGGACTGGGTCCCGCGTGGAGCTACATCGGCACGGGGCGGGACGACGGCAAAGAGGCCGGGGAGTACTGCCCCATCTTCTACCAGCCGGCGCACGCGAAGCTCCTGAACAGCACGCAGAAGTGGCTCTCCCCCACCCCGGACGTGCCCTCCTACTGGCCCGGCGCCGGCAGCCGACGCTACATCCTCGTGGGCGTCTTCGAGAACCAGACAACGGGCACGCGCTTCATCGCTGCCAACACGCACCTGGATGACCAGAGCTCCGAGGCGCGGTCCGAGGGCGTCAAGATTATCCTGAGCACGATCCGCGCCGTGCAGGCGCAGTGGGGTCCGGACTTACCCGTGACGCTGTCGGGAGACTTCAATTCCGAGCCCGATCAAGATGCCCATGCGGCCATGGTCGCCGACGGCTACCTCCAGGAATCGTACGCCCTGGCAGGCGAGCAGAAGCGCTTCGGGCCGTACGAGACCTACACGGGGTTCGTGCCAGACGACGTCCCGAAAGTGAGTGCGCGTATCGACTACGTGTGGGCCGGCCCCGATGCTACGGATACGTGGGATGTGACGAGATATGAGGTGGCTGATAATGTCGTGGGTGGTGTGTATATCAGTGATCACCGGCCCGTGTTCGCGGATGTCAAGCAAAGGACGTAGCGAGGTTTACGTTCGAACGGTGATCGAATAATATATGTATCTTGGAGCATTAGTCAGTTTCGTCGTTTGGTCGTATTGTACTTATGCTACACTTCGATGACCAGCTCTGTCTGCGTTTAATGGATAGATTTAACCCTTAGTTGCTCCGCCCTTTCGTACCTCCCATTGAATCCTGTACCGAGCCGCCGATACCACCCTCGGTTGTGAATTGCTTGCCCACCATGCCCTCCTTGTCTAAGGGTCCGCCGATCTTCTGGGCCATACCGCCAAGTGCGCCTTGCTCTGCGCGTCGGGGTGTTAGTAATTAATGGTTAGGGTGAGGTAGGCTCGTGTCGTTAGAATCGAATCGACGAAGTATTTCTTACCTGTGAATTGCTTTCCGATGCTGCCCTGAGCATCGAATGCTTTGGGCTTATCCTCGCCAAGGCCAGCGTTGGCGGGCGTTGTAGTTGCCGATGCGGTTCCGGTTTGCGTTTTACTGCCAGTGTTGGAGCTTCCGTGGGACGACATGATTGTTGTGAAAGTTTAGTTGCTGAGATGATTCTATATGCTGTATGTATGTGTCTTTGATTCATAAAGATGAACGTTTTATTATGTTTTGCTTTTCCCTGGGCTAAGTATGTATATATAGTTAGTTGTCTGGTGAGGAGGTATGAGGTCATGACTCGTCATTCCCGCTTGGACCCTGCCATTCTCCTACTACTCGTTATAGTTCATAGATCCTATTATAGAAGCCCAATTCGGATCCAATGCTCCGTTATGCGTCAACGACAACCTCTTCTGCGTAATTTCAATATTATTACCTAGGTACTTGTAGTTACGATTGTTATGATCGTTACGATTAGTAGTATCAGAGACACCCGATCAGGAGCATTCTGAAGCTATGACATAAACAATCTCCACATCATTTTGACATCTATACGCTATTCAATCGCGTCCCTTCTATTACACATTCGTTATATCTACGTGTAAATTCCACCTGATCTCTTTTCCTAGTTCCTTGTTCTTGTTGTGGCAGTAGCCAAGGTGTAGTATAAAACGGCTGTAGTTGGCTTGCTCCTGAATTGTTTTACCGCCGTCCAAATTGCGGCTCTAACCCATGATCATAGAGGATGGCTCTTCTTATGTCTATAAAGACTATTGTAAATGTACTACAAGATCGCCGATGTAAAATGTTGACACAAGAAAGCGTCGCCAGTGCCACTGCTCGTTTACGATTAGTAAAACTCCCCCCTCGTCTCATACAGCGCCGTAGTGTGAGTATAGGGGTGTTCGCAAGTTCTACAGTGTTCTTGAAAGGGTCGAGTTGCAAGTTCGTGTTGTATTGTAGAGAATTTCTTGACATCCGTCACAGCTCAGGTTTTAAGCCGATGTTGTTGTTTTTCTCCGTTGTCGTCATTTTTTCTTCGTTGTCGCTGTTTTCCTAGTACTTTAGAAGTCCCACCCCCCTAATTCAAGTATTTTGACTCCTTCTAAGTTTTCCGTGTTGTCAGTACAAGATCGGATTAGCTCTAGCTGTCGTTCCTATACTTTGGAGGTCCCAACCCCCTAACCCAGGTCACTTGACCCCTCCAAAGGTTGTCGTGCTATCCGATACAGCGGGCCTTAACTCGATTGTTGTTGTGTCGTCTAGGGCAGTTTAGTCTCCTACCAAGGAGAATCCTGGAACATAACAAGTCTTTTAACCTCTGTTGCCCCGGAGCGACCGCTTCCCCTCGTGTCTAGGAGCAGCAGTTTACCCTCTTGCTTAGGAGACCAACCCACTATTCATTTGCCCCCAAGATGAGATAGTTAGTTACCCTGCTCGTTAGGCTTTCAGCTTATCCTAGGATCTGCCGTCTTTTCCTCGAACTCTATGTTTTATTGCCCACTGATTCCCCCGAGTCCCTTTTCCCACTAAGACAGCAGTTCACTGTCGCCTTGATCAGAGGCTTACACCCACTACTATTTCTATTGTTCCCACTGAGATTAGGTGCCAACCCATCTTCCGGATGTTACTTGCCCCCGTAGGACTAAGATTGAATAGCCGACATACCCCCAGTGTAGAAACCCACTGTAAACAGCTTATGGCTGCTGTAGTGATGCTCCCTCTAGAGGCTCCTCCCGGCAATGCATCAACTAATACGCACGTGATTAGGAACTTTGGCGGAGTGGTCAACGCGCAGGATTGCTAATCCTGTTCCTTCGGGTTGGAGGGATGGTTTCTGGTTGGAGTAGGGGGAGTGACAGGCGGAGTGAAATGTCTACACTCGGCTGCTGGTTTCCCCGAGTTCGAATCTCGGAGGTGCCGTATTTTCTTGCTTTAAAATCTTTATTTATGTTAGGATAAGCCTTAGACTGCCTCAGGCCACTAGAACCGGCTTATAGACCTATGCATATGGCCATTTCTTACTAGCTAATTGTCGGCTCTAACAGACGAATATCGATTCAAGCCTAGTCTGCTTTAGTCCAACGTGCTCAATTTCCCAGTCTATTACCTTTATCAATCCGTTAAATGCCAACCATGCTGCGCGTGAGCATCTTTTCTATAATATTACTCTATATAGGTTTAATGGGACAATCCTCAAAAGGCCCATTTGCTTCTTGCTCTAATTTTAGGACCCCATTTAAACAGAACGAAAGGAATAGGGAGAGCCAGAGCACTGATCCCCCCCAAGAGAGTCAAAGTCCAATGTGTTCCAAGATTTCCGTATAGGGGTATTCCTACAACGGTGAACCCCCCTGCTGCGATATAGCGGGTCAAGGCGTTGAAAGTCAACGCAGACGCAGCGAACATCTCGTAGCAGTCGATGATATACATATACGCCGACACTGCAACACGGAGTTAGTTATCGCCATTTAGAGCGTGATATGTGAAGATTTCGGAAGCTTCTAGGCACCATCTCGACCCAAAAGGAGACCTCGTGCTCTAAAGTTGCCAAGAGAAGAAAATAGTTGCGAGAATTCCTTACTAAAGACGCATATAATCCCAAACCCTATCAAGACTGAAGCGACAATCGGCGACCACATTGAGATAAATGACTGCATAGGTTAGTGTCGGTGACGAAGAATAGAGATTCAACGTGGGAAAACCTGACTCACGTAATCGGTCCACGCCATCCAAAATAACCCAATCGGTATAAGTGGTGCCCCAATCATTGCGAAATATAGTCGGTTTTCGCGGTCCAGCATCTCGCCAGATCCATCGTCTCCATCACGCTGTAATTGCTTAACGGTGCTGCGGTAAGTCCAGGGGAGGAGGACCACCGGAAGAAGTATCCCGACGAGAAGTCCCGCGAACGCAGTATTGGACAAGTTATCGCTGATGCCGTATGTACCGGCGAAAATGTATGGATAACTAGATGGTGACACATGAGCGGCTAATCCATCTAAGGTAGGCTTTCACTACTTACCCGTCAAGGAAAGTGAAGAGAATGATGTAGTTGATAGTTAAGTATACCGTGAAACTTATAACGATTGGTTCGAAGCATAGTAGAAACGGGCGACCGAAGTTTCGCTTCAGGATAGGCCAGATGTCGCTGGAGTCAGATGCCTCCTTGCTCGTCTTGAATCGTGCGTTGCCGGTATATTTACGGAAGGCAGCCGCCTTTATCTTTAGAATACGCGGGGCGAATGTCTCGCGTTTGAAGAGGAAGAGCAACGCAATAGAGACGCTAGTGAATATCAGAGTCAACCACTCAACCCACCGCCAGGTTAATTTAGGGTCGTTGCCAATCCATGTTCCAACGATAGGGCCTAAATTGGTTACAAGAGCCTTCAATTAGTTACTACGGGTTCAATATGTTTTCGAGTTTGGGTTGTCTCTTTTACGTACCGAAAACAGCGCCACCGAATGCCGGTATCGCATAAAACGGAAAAGCAAAGGTCCTCTCGAGGGGCGACCACATGTCAGAGACGGAGCCACCGGCCACAGTCAGGGGAGCAGAAGCAGAGATGCCCATCAGGAACCGGAATATGAGTTGCGCAGCAATATTGGGAGAAAGAGCCGAACCAATGGTCCAGCCTTCGAATATCACGAGCGAGACGAGGTATACCGGTTGCCGTCCGACGAGTTCGGACAATGGGCTGGCGAGTAGTGAGCCGGTGCCGAAGCCTACTAGAAACAGACCAGTTGCCAGTGATTCGACGACATGAGAGACACCGAACTCGGCCGCTGCTCTCCCGATGATGACGCTGTCGATGGAGCTGGCTGATGCAGCAAAGAACGCGACGACGCAGACGATGAAGGTCGATCCTAGACGAGTCGCCGTAGACCATCGCTTGGGGTTAAACCTGTCACCTTCATCCGCCCATCCGACATCGTAGTACCACTCCCCGTCCCGATCTATTTGGCGAGTAATTCCGGGGATCCGAAGGTAGGTGTCCCTTGGGTGCCCTGTCGCTTCTGCTTTCTCGACATCTATTGCCGTGGTACTCGTTGTTGTACTACCATCTGCGATCATACCAAGTCCGTTTGTGGCATCTATCTGCTCCAGTTGGTGTTGGACTTGCTTCGCAAGGGCTCGCCGCTGTATAATGAAAGCCATGGTTAAAGTGGTAGCTGGACAACACTGTAGCCACACCTAACTCAAAACAACAAGAATTTAAGAGCCGAATATTAATAATGAACTATCAGCCAAGCTTTGGTTATGTGAATTCAGAGACGGGACTATGAAGTTTTATCTTTCTATATGGTGTTTTTGCTGATAACATGAAGCAATCTAAGTTGTCAATGCCAGCTAGAGACAACCAAAGTAAGCATCGGAGACAAACATGTTCGAGAAATGGAGTCTTTTCCAGATAAATATGAAAAACTGCGGCCTTAAATTACATTTCCGAGTCCAAGGGCGGATCCAGCTAACTCCGTGTGGGCCGAACCAGAAGTTACACCCCTAACTTATGCCTGAACCTAGGGCGGATCTCGGAGAAGCTGATGAATGTGACTCCTCAATTTCTTGGATTTGGAATCAAACGGGTCGAATAAACTGAGAGGAGTAAAAAGGTGTGCCTTGAAGAATAGATTCATCCGTAATCTTGTAGCTCCGTATGCGGAGCAGTCATTCTCATCTTTCCTCGGGGACTTACTTGTAAGCATTTTTCGACATGCATTCGACTCATAGGAGTCGGCTGATCGGCCTTCTTGACTTAGTAAAGCTTTAGTAGCATGGGAAATTCCTCGAAAGTGGCGATGTCATATCCAGTTCCTACCAAATATCACAATTTGGAGAAATTCCGGAATATTGTCAGTAATTGTTTCTATTAGGGTTTCGATGAGAACTCGGATCTATCATGTTATCGTGTCCAACAACCCTCCCTCCGTTACCAAGCAAACAATGTTGACTGAGGACTTGAGGACAACTACCTTGCGAAGGTACATGGTCAGTTGTTATCACCTAGTATGCCGTCCAGGAAGTTCTATGTAGTCGTTAGAGCAAGCTGTAGCAGCTCGTCTTCTTGTGGCTGATAACTTACCCAGTCTATAGTGTCTGGGTTAAGCCACTGAAGGTTGTCTACCCATGTATCGAATGTTTCTAGAAATGTAGAGTTTGCCGGGTTGGGCCACTTATATTGCTCGGGGAATAGGAGAGCCCTGCGTGGCCTTCAGTAATTCAACTTTCTAGTCACGTCTTATAGTAGGTTTCCACGTACTGTAATTGTGAAAGAATAGGATAAGCTTTCATGCAGATCGGGCTGCGCTGCTGTAGCTTCCCCATACGGTTGACCGCTGCAATAAAGGTGTCTCTGTATTGCAGCGAGGCTGAAATGTGAGACTCCTCTTCCTCCAGAAGGCATGATGCCAATGCTACCGCACCATGGACCGCATAAAAACTATGCAAGCCATGCAATGTCCAACGGCAGGGCCGTAGCCGAGGAATCTCCCAGAACCGCTGATGCAATTGCAAGAGATGTGCACCGGAAGTGATACACTTTGCCCGAGACTGTTGGCGAAAGCAGGTCGAGTTAGAACGTGGCCGACAAAAAGGCTGGTGGATTAGCAGATAAAGGTGGTGACCGTGAAATTGCAACGACCAATGCGCGAAGCTTGAGAAGTCTAAGAGACTTGGTACTTCGTCGTTACCATCAACGAGGAACGTAGCATCCCATTGGCGTTGCTCTGCTGCTATTTCGGCGTCGAATAGATCTCGTGTCTTCTCGTCGAACTTGTTCGGTCCTTTTAGATGGCGGCAAATTCTACTGGACAGCTGGAACAGGCGAATCTTGAAAATCATTATGGACATCTGCGTAAGCCGCCGGGAAGGCTGCGATATTGAATCTTCGCGTATGTCGGCATCATCCACGTCAGCAGGCATTATTGCCGTAACATTGGTCAGAAACAACATGTCAACGCTTGGATAGGAAACCATCTGATAGGCATACAGACTAAGAAGGCCCGCCCAGCAGCGCCGTCGGCGCTCGATCTCAATTCGAGCCACTAGAGTACTCAAAGTCAGTTATTATTATTCTAAGCATGATTTGTGAGAGGAGTTTCGGAAACGTCCAGACACAACTTTGGCCCGAAAAGAGCACTCTAAATTTTGTAAAGAGAGAAGAGTAAATGACTACGAGAATTCCTTACAGCCAGGGGGAGCGGGTTCATCATTGCAATGCAGCGCGATGCTGATGTTCAATGCGATGCCCAGGAGCGTCCAGCCGTGCTCAACACCCTCCTCGTGACAGATCTCGTAGACGATGAACAACAAGGCCTGTAATGTGCTCAGCTGATACCTCGTCAAGAACTGAGCTTTCGATAAACACATCATAGCCGCCTCGCGATATCGTTGTGTAGGTTTGCTCGAACCCTGCAGCGGAGACGTGTTAGGCTTGATCTCAACCGGTAGACCATCATCGTAATCGAAAGTGTGGAGCCCAAGAGATAGTAACATGAAGAGCACAGCTAACCAGGAGAAGTCAACTGCGGAAGGGTTTGCGACGAAAGCGGCATACTCCTTTTGGAACGTTGGGCCGTGCAAAATAGGGAAGAATTGTGACAAGTACATGAAGTACCTTGATATGATATAGTCGCATGCTGAAGCGGAGGGTAGCATTGCTAGGAGATCACTCGTGCCAAGCTGGGGCATCGAAGGAAATGGAAAACAGACGCCGGCGGCGCGGGACGCTGTATCGTCGGGCGCGAACGCCGATGGCTCATTTGGGTTCATTGGCCGTTGCAGCACTTCTTCCCAGCGTTCGTGAGTTAGAGCATGCCGTTCCCGAAGGTTGGGAGGAGCGGGATTTGCTGAGTCTCGTCCTCGTTCCTTCGGCGCCGCAGGAATGTCCGCTAGGCCTTGGGCTACAGATGGCGCCTGGGCG